TAGTAATAATGATAACACATTTTATTTTCTAAAATCTATTTCATTGTCAGCTTTGTTACTTGATTTGTCCCTTTCTTTATGTCACTGTGAAAACCCTCGAACAACAGAAGAAGATCTGTTGATGGTTTCTCTTGTGAAGTCTTCAACATTAAATCATCATCTGGAGTAGTAAAAAAAAAAAGAGTTTGCCCTGAGACAGACGGTGTGAACATGAAGTCGTCCTACTCTGCCCCCTGCTGGAGACCAGCAGACCAGTCATCTAACTCTATTAAAGACAATACAGAAGCTGATGCTCCTGTTTCATTGCAGCTGTAGTATTTTATAATGGTGGTTATGAGCTGCCTGGCAACAGGATCAAAGTGCAGCCTTTTATTTCTGTGTCACACATTAACAAAGACACTGTCGTTAAGTTTGTAGTCAGTCAACAGACTTCAATCTAATAGGGTGAGCGATGGGACTGCAGTAGATAAAACTGATCACTGTACTTGTTTGATTGAAGGACTTTGAGCGTGTGCAGCTTGCTGAGTGAGAAATCACCCAAGAGGTAGGAAATACTTTTAATAAAAAAAAAAGAATTCCTGCTGTAATTTGATGTTTAATTTAGAGGAAATTGTAAATTTCTTTGGACTAAAAGCAGGTTTCCTAATGCGTTTAATCTCCTTTCGAATAAGACCGTTGACATATTGCATGTAAGCTGGAAGTTGCAGCCTAATTTAATAGTTTTAAGGCAGTGCAGTACAGATCTTATTTATTTACTTATGTATAATATTCTATTATCATCAAGAAGTTTAAATCTTTTTTATCTCAANCAGAAGCTGATGCTCCTGTTTCATTGCAGCTGTAGTATTTTATAATGGTGGTTATGAGCTGCCTGGCAACAGGATCAAAGTGCAGCCTTTTATTTCTGTGTCACACATTAACAAAGACACTGACGTTAAGTTTGTAGTCAGTCAACAGACTTCAATCTAATAGGGTGAGTGGTGGGACTGCAGTAAATAAGATTGAACACTGTACTTGTTTAAGGACTTTGAGCGTGTGCAGCTTGCTGAGTGAGAAATCACTCAAGAGGTAAGAAATACTTTTTAATAAAAAAAAAATTCCTGCTGTGATTTGATGTTTAATTTAGAGGAAATTGTAAATTTCTTTGGACTAAAAGCAGGTTTCCTAATGCGTTTAATCTCCTTTCGAATAAGACCGTTGACATATTGCATGTAAGCTGGAAGTTGTAGCCTAAATTTAATAGTTTTAAGGCAGTGCAGTACAGATCTCATTTATTTACTTATGTATAATATTTTATTATCATCAGTAAGTTTAAACCTTTTTTATCTCAGTGTGAATTTCTTCTGTGATTACTTTGATTTTCAGACGCTTCACCAGATGGACGGACTGTCCCATAAATCTCGACTTGCTGCATTCAGCACTTTAATTTTCCATCATGCTGTTGTCTTTCTTCTCCTGACACGCTTTGATGGAGGTAATGTGTCCACAAATGATACAATATTGAAGACCCTTTTTTATTGTAGAATTTAAGCCTAACACTACAGACTGCATCTCCTCAGATATGGAAATGTTGCAGACAAAATGACAGAGCTATTGTACTGGACAGCATTAGATTGTATAAGTGCACCTATTGAAATGACCACTCTGTGTATATAAACTGATGCCTACAAATGCTATTAAATCATAGACGACTGCATCACTACAAATACTTCAAACAATACTGTTAGCAGAGCTTTCATTTTGTTTCCAATGCAACGCACATCGTGTGAAAACACTAGTAAGACTACAAGTTGGCCATATTAAAGTCTGAGCTGCTGTGAATGAAGGTGCAGTACAGTGACAGTAGGGAGCGCCAAAGACTCACAGTGCAGATCAGCTCACTGGTGAAAATGAAAGTGAAAGTGTGAATTCATTGTGTTTATTGGGCTGATCCGGTTTGTTTAACAAGTCGTTGTCACGTCAGTTAGGGTATCTTGCAGATAAAGATAACAGGTGATTATATTGTGTGTGTTTAGGAGGGGGAGGGGGTTGTTTACACAAGCTGATTATTAACTTGTTCCTGTGTTCATGCCGAACTTGTTGAAATAATAATGGGAACTGATGGTTCTCGTTTCATCTATGGTTGTAGACCAGTGTTGAATGTTTACATTCAATATTTTCCAATTAAATTTGGTGCAGACATTCACGGTCCTCAGAGGATGAATCCCAATGATTTTTATTCCCTGACATTACATTTGGTGCCACAAACAGATCGAAAATTTTTACTGATCCAATGATATAGCTTGAAAACTATTGGATGGATTGCCACTACATTTTGTGCAGACATTTGTAGTCTCCAGACGATGAATCCTACTAACTTTAGTGATCACTTGTCTTCATTTCTAGCGCCACAAATTTTTATTTCTCCTGTGAAATATCTTGAAGACTATTGGATCGGTTGCCACTACATTTTGTACAGATATTCTTGGTCTTCCGAGGATGAATCTTACTAACCTTGGTGATCCCTTTGTTTAACCACTAGTGCCAAAAGAATTTCTTTATCCTGAGATATATGTCAACTTCTGTATGAAACACTGAGAAACTTTTAGAGACATCGTCATCCCCAGAAGATGTGTAAAACTAATCCTGAGACTTTTACCTTTGCACAAATGGTTATATAGATGTTCTGTCCTCAGGTGAGTCGCAGGTGGTCACTCAATCACAGCCGATTGTGGCGATGCTCGGTGATGACATCATTCTGCCATGCCACGTGACACCTGACGAAGGTCTCGTTAATAAGGTGCTGGAATGGATGAGACAAGACCTCAAACCCCGATCTGTCCACATGAGACGATTCGGTGAAAACAGCCTGGATAATCAGAACCCGTCCTACAAGGAAAGAACATCAGTGTCCATTGACAACATGAAGCAAGGAGACATGTCGCTCAAACTCTCCAAGGTGAAACTGACCGATGAGGGAATATACAGGTGCTTCACTCCAGAACTGAAAGCAGAATCTTTTGTTCAGCTTAATGTTGGTAAGTGGGCAACTCTGAATCATCTAGATGAGAGTTTTGTGTCAGTTCTGCAAATATATAATAAACCTGTTTCACCTGTATGTTCTCTGACTTTTCTCAGTTGCGGTCATCAACATGACTCAAGTGAGCAGTGGAGTGCTAGAATGTAAATCTAAAGGCTGGTATCCAGAGCCTGAGTTGTTGTGGCTGGACGGTGAGGGAAAGCTGCTCTCTGCTGGACCTACAGAGACAGTCAGAGGTCCTGATGACCTCTATACTGTCAGCAGCAGAGTGACTGTGGAGAAGAGACACAGCAACAGCTTCACCTGTAGAGTCCAACAGAAGGACAACAGCCAGAGCAGAGAGACACAGATTCATGTTTCAGGTTAATATGAGTTATTTAGTTACAGCATCACTGTTTTAGCTCCAAATTGCTGCTGTCTTAATTAAAATAAATCTTTTTTTTTTTGTCATTTTAGATGATTTCTTCCCGTCCAGGTCATCGGCTCCAGCCATCATCGGTGTGTTTGCTCTCGTCATCATTCTTGCAGTTGTCTTTGGTGTGTGGAAATGGCGACAAAATAAACAAAGTAAGTCTGTAACCTGTTAC